GCTGTCCTGGCTTCCTAAAATGGTAAACTTGGGTGTGTTGCCTTGCCTTTTCAAGCCTCAGTCTCCTCAACTGTAAAATGGGGATGAAAACAATACCGACACAGAAGCCTATAGTGAGGATGAACTGAGAGCACACCTGACAGCACATGGTACAGCGCCTGCCTTGAGGTAAGCTGCTGGTGAATATTATTGATGAGATTGATGATGGTGGAATCAACACTGAAAGATGCTGTGGATGGTGGGAATGATGGTGAGGGTGAAGGCAGTGATGTGCGAACTCCAGGAGCTTGTGGACATGTACACTGTTTATAGAGGACAATCTATGGGGAAAGCTCATAGATTGTTCTGCTATTAGTGCCCGGGAAGGCCGGGGAGAGAAATACTGAGGGAAGAACCTTTTCAGGCTGATTCTCTCCCTTCCTCATCACCTTTCCCAAAAGACTGCTGGGTTCTAGAGTGGATCCTAGTCTCTCAGCTGGAATCCAGATATGCATTGAATACGGGATTTCAGACTGGCATTGGTCAGCCAACCTGGGAGCTGCTTTTCTGGGTTCCTTCTGGGCCTTATTTCTAGAACCTAGTTTTACAATGCCAAGATGTGGGCTCTGGGACCTCTTTCTGCTTCCCCTGAGAGGGATGACCTGTGTTGGGGCTGGAGACACAGCAGGTCATGTCCTACCTTCCCCAGGAGGACCCAGAGCCTGCACCTAAGACCAGGGTCCATGGGAGTAGGGGTTATGTGTGGACCATGCAGAGAGAGCAGACAGGAGATGACTTTTAAATGATTATGTGAGTTTACATGACACATTTGTTTTTTACTTGAAAAGAATCATAAACTATATTCATGGATCTCAACTGTAAATCCTCCCTCCCCCCACATCCCCAAAATGGCCCTTTAAAGAGTATGAAAAATGGCTCTCCTGTTTTTGTTCCTGGCCTCTGATAGTTCAGCCTGTCAGAAAAGCACAATTTGCCGGTGAGCTACTGAAGATACTTGAATAAGAACTGCCACAAAAATGCCAGAAGACCCAAACTTGGACTTAATTCACAGTTTGCAAGTCCTCAAGATAGAGCTGGCCAAACAATTTCAACTAAATTAAACTCTGCATGGTTCTCCTGGGCTGGGCCTGTGGGTGCTAAGCCCCAGCTGTCAGCCCAGCTTCACAGCTGCAGATAAATCACTGCGGAAAATGGACTGTAATGAAAACACTGACAGACCCTTCAAAGTAATGGAGCTCGAGGGTCTCCCTTTTGTTACATTCTGTATATTATGCAATTACTGCCTTGGTAATGGTGTTTTCTTCTTTCCTGAGAGGTGTGTCCTGGTTTCCAGACAGGGGCCATGGAGTCAAAAGATGACTTCATGCTTAGGCCCATATGCAGGTTGGATTCAGCCTGCACCAGGTCCATCCTTGCAAATTGGTAGCAATTTTCTATTTCTCGGAAGCTGAAATTGGCCATGTCTAAACACTAGAATCACTGTACTGGGCCTAGGCAGTGCAAACAGGTCAGGCATCCCTCTAGTCTGCAGCTAAGTGGTTTATGCCCCAAGTGATGGAATTGATGCTGCTTTCCTATTCTGTAAGATGGGGTGTGAATGAATGAAAAAAAACTCCCCAAGGATGCCTGTTGAGGTATCCATGTCCAGGGCAGTGGGCTGTGACATTGTGTATTGATAGATGTGTCCCATAGTGATCCAGAACATGAAAATTGGGCCAGACTGTCCTGGTAGGGAGCATTCAGTACCATTAAGGGAGGGTCCTGGCACAGGGGATGTTTGTCATGGTACAGGTGGGATGCCCCTTCAGGACCTGTACTCTTCAAGAAGCTCTGGGTCACTGGCTCTCTTTGGCTTACCTCTGGCTTTCTTATCAACTCCTGCCTCTGGTAGCATCTAAATCCACAACAAAGGGGCTCCGTATAGCTGCAAGTAAAAATATATCCCTGAGAAAGTGCTGTGTTGGGACATTTTCCAAAGGCAAACACCCCTCAAGCTGACTTAAGTTAAAAACAGAAATGTATAACATAAATGTAAAGTTCATTTATATTCAAGTAAGGTTGGATCTAGAAGGCTAAGTGAAGCCTAGGGTCTTTCCTTTTCTCCTCTTCATGCTGGCTTCATGCCCAGGTAAGCCCTTTTCACTGGGCCTTGGGAAATTCCAGGTCCATATACTCTCAATTCCAGAACTGGTGGGATAAAAAAAGGATGATGTATTCCAAATAGTTTTAACATGTTTCAGAATTGAAACCCACTGAACTGATTGGGTTCTGTGATCTGCCCTAAGCTAATTGCCATGGCCAGGGAGATGCAATCTGCTGACTGGATAAGGATGCTCCTGTCCCTAAGCCAAGTGGGTGGTGAGTAAAGTCGATGCTCTGATCAGCCAAGTCCAGGCCATGTTTCCTTCTGAGATAAGTGGGGGAGTCAGACCACTTTTCAGCACAGGGTAGTTTCCTAAGAAAATAGGGTACAGTTACCTAAACAGCTGGAAATTGAATGCTAGGCAGGCAAAGACAAAAATTGCTCTCTGGAGATGACACCAAGTCTGTAGAAGTATTTGGGTGATTTTCTCCCCAATTGGAGTTAATTACCCTCGGTATTAGACATAACCTTGGTGCTTCTCAGATTATTCTTCCACTTCTCGGTGAGCAGGAGCACGCTGTGTGTCATGGGATATGGGTTCCTGTGGGGCTGCCTAAAGGCTGGAGGATGACAACTGGAAAGGTGGGGAGTTAGCTCCCTAGGACGTGAACTTTGCCGAATGGGGAATGGGGAATGGGAGACGTTTGGAGGCAATTGGAGAGATAAATTCCTGCTTGTTTCCCCTGTCCATGAGCTCCCTTCCATAAACTCCTAGAAAGGTGTTTGGTTCCTGGCAAACATGCCAGCTAAGAGACCTGGTTTTGGATTCCTATTGCTGCAGTGGTAAATTACCACACACTTAGTGGCTCAAAGCAATACAAATTAATTCTCTTACGGTTTTGGAGGTCAGAAGTATAAAATGACTTGGCAGAAGTGCATTTCTTTTGGAGGCTCTGGGTAGAATCCATTTCCTTGCCTTTTCTTGCTTCTGGAGGCTTCCTGCATTCCTTGGCTTATGGCCTCTTTCTGAAGATTGCTCTAACCTCTTGCTTTTGTCATCATATCTCCTCTGACTCTGACATTCCTGTCTCCTTCATATGAAGACTCTTGTGATTTCACTGGGCCTGCCTGGATAAACTATGGCACTCTCCCCATCTCAAAATCCTTAATGTAATCACACACAAAATCCCTTTTGCCATGTATGGTAACATTGTCACATGTTCTGAGGATTAGGATGTGGACATCTTTGGGAGCCATTATTCAGCTGACCACAGCCTGATTGATGGCTCTCTGGGCCTCACTGTGAAGCTCTGGTCAGTGTAGGACTGCATTGCATTGTATTACTTTATTCCCTGCCTCACTTCCCTTTTATTCCTCACCCTTACTTCCTGGGCTTGCACATCCTAAACAATCTGCCTCTCTTTGGATCTCACCTTAAGCTTCACTTTCTGAAGGAACAAGGTGAAGAAAACCTCCATGGGCTTACATGGTGCCGTGTACCTCTAACTACCTTCTAGTTAGAGGTAACCATGTGCCAGGGTTCTGGACAACTAGATATAAACCAAAACCTGTATGACAGGGCTTTCCAGAAAGCTTTTTTTATTCTTCATTGAAAGAGTACGATTTAGTCACAACAGACTATCAGCCTTTGCCTCTCTGTCTTTTCTTCTTGTATCTCATAGACATGATGACTAGTATTCCTGCAGCCATTTGCTAACATGAGGTAATGAGCACAAGAAAAAAGAATAAGGGAATCTCAGAGAATCCTGACCTTGGTTAACAGTGACCCATGAGCCAACAATGGCAGCTGCCTCCCTCCAGACTTCTTACTTGTGCCTTATTAAAGATAATACCAGAAATTTGGAGAAGAGGATAAGAAATGTAAAAAGCAGACAAAAAGAGAAGAAAAGAAAGACAAAGTCCAAGCAGTTTATATCTCTCTTTGGATTTTGAAGAATTATAGAAAGAAGGGGAAATCAACCCCAAAACAAATCTCTACCCATCTCCTCCAGTGGACTGGAAGCAAATTGAAAGCAGTGTGTATCTGTTTGGTGATTGGTGTCATCTGTATCTGGCATTGTGCCTAGCATAGTAGGTGTTTGTTGAACAAACAACAGAATCTTTTTTTGTTGTTGTTTTGTTTTACCTCTTTTATACTTTAGCCAAGTCTATCTGGCTCATCAGAGCAGTTGTAATGACAGGTGTTTGGTGAGTTTCCAAACACTGTGCTATTTAAGTATAGTACACAAGGCTTAGGAGGCCAGGCAGACAATTGGACAGCTGAACCTGGCTGGCCAGACCTGTATTAGAAAAACTTACACATTTCATCTGAATCTTTAAGAGGAAAAGTTTTCCAAATACTTTCTCCAATATGTGATTCTCTTTGGAGGATTTCTAATGAGGAACAAAATTTAAGGTGGCTCGGAGAAACATATTCAGTAAATGTCTGGGCTCTGTCCCAAGGATCATATAACCCAATGGGAGACATATATATGATAGTGATTTTCAGGATCCTACCTGAGCTTCTATCCTGGACACCAGGTGCAACTGCCAGTATCTCACCACAGAGCCCCTCTTTACTGCGACCTCCCTGTCATGGTACCAACCTAATACCTTGTTAATAACTGGGGTGCACAGCCAGTCTGTTAGAGATAAGATAAACCCTTGGAAACTTATCTTCATAATTTCTTATGATGGGGGAAAGCATAGACAAGAGAACATATTCTCGAGTAATGTATTCTGTTCCCTGGCATTGATGAAAGTGATAAAAATAAATCAGTGTTTCTACTCAACTTGTTTGAAGGACAAGCCAAAATCACACCATTAAAAATTAACATCTAAAACAGATTGTACATTACTAGGGATGAGTTCAGACCCAAAGTAGGATAATTGGCCAAATGAATCTATAGAATGTTGGGTATGATGAATTCACTCTCATTTCCAGTGGTTAAGAAATAAAAGAAGACAGATTGTCCTCATTTCAGGCTAGGAAGATTTGCAGAAACAGCCCAGTGCATCTTACCTGAGTTAAAGAAGGAACAAGGAAAGAGGTTAAGGTCAGAGCTATGGAGTTTTCTGGAGCACCAAATCCATCATAAGGCATAGTCCTATGAAATTCATGTCCAAAACTATCAGATTATTTCCCTTCTTGGAGCCACCTAAACTCTAGTGGAAAACAGAACCAACTGTTAATTTTTGATGGCCTGAACAACTCTCACAATACCCATTGTGTACATCTATTGATACTATCTTTGGATGTGAGATCTATGCATCCTTCCATCCATCCAGCATTATTTCACAGCACCTGTCCATGCTTGGCCCTGTGCTGGGGCAGAAGATAGAGCAATGTATTAGATAGAGACTTTGTTCTTAAAGAAATTACTTCACCACATGACTTTAGAGCAGGGATTTTCAACCTCCACACTATTAGTATTTTTGGCTGGATAATCTTTTGTTGCAAGGACCATCAAGTGCATTGTAGGATGTTTAGCAGCATGCCTGGATGGCATCTACCTACTAGATTCCAATAGCACCTGCCCCCCTCAGTCATGATTATAAAAAATATCTCCAAATATTGGTAAATGCACCCAGATGGAAGAAGGAAACATTGCCTCTGGTTGTGAACCATTGCTTTAGAGTCAGAAACCTAGCTTCTGCTCTTGCCTCACTCTCTTACTAGTTGTTTATTTAACCAGTTGTTATTTAACCTTATTCCCCACACCAACACAGTTTCTGCCACAGAGTAGGTATATAATAAATGGGTAAAGGTTAAGTGAATGAATGAATTAATTAAATGAGTAAGGGATTATATTTGTAAGACCAACCTTTCCTAAGGAGTTGACAGGCTGTTAGAAGGACCTTGAATCTTGGCCATGCACAATGCCAAACATGCAATATATTCAATCAAAATATGCCTTAGTTAAGTAGGAAAAAAAAATCTACTTATGGGGTATTTAGCTGTGTAAGCCTGACAGATAATTGAGCGGCTGGATTTTTCAGTTTCAACAGATTGGTTTGCCATTCTGTAGCCACAATAACAGAGCAAAGTAACAATCATGTCTATGTTTAATTTTCTGAAGAGTGCTGCATCGCTGAGGCTAACAATCTGGCCAATTAAATGTGGCCGATTGGCACTCCCACACAAGTTTGGGGATATTTAAAATAGCTGTCTGCAAAAGAAAAAAAAATCCAAGCTGCAGAAAAAGTTGTAACTCTCCCAAGATTTCATATTTCAAAAGCAGGCTTGTGATGGTAAAATTGTTCTGGGTGACAGAGAATAGACAAACCATCCACTTTGAGTGTATTAGTGTCAAACTGAGTGTTGTCTCTGTTGCCAGTGGTCATGTCTATTTGTGGAATTGGATAATTTTTTATATTCAAGGAAATAATCAAGGTTGTTGCACTCCTTAGAGACTGAGGCTATGGGACTTTTGACCATGATGTTAACCATTGAGATGGGACCATGAGTGTTCCTCACCAAGCTTCCTTTACTACCTAAAGCTTGAATGAAGGGTGGCTGATAAGAATGGAGTAAGATTCCCTGCCTGTTTTATTCTCAAGTCATCCAGACACAATCTTGTAGGTTCATGTGGGGGATGCTATATTAGTTACCTATTGCCACAATAATACTGAGTATCAAACAACCATAAAGCATCATTGACATATGGCAATAATATTTGTTTAGCCTAGAAATCTGTAGGGTTTAGCTGATCTTGGCCGAACTTAGATTATTTTAAATGTCATGTATATCTGGGGTTGGCTTCAGGTTGGCTAATTGGCTCTACTGATCTTGGGTTTACTCACCTGGCTGGAGGTTGGATGGCTGTTGGCTGACCTAGGGTAGTCTTGGCAAGGATGACTGGGATGCCTCCTCCTGGGGGATAGCTGAGAAATGTGCATGTGGCATCTGCAGAGGTATTAGAACTTGCATTATTCTTCCTAATAGCCCATTAGCCAAAGCACATTATATGCCTGAGCCCAGAGTTAAGAGATCAGACAGAATGTTCTACTCAGAGTGAGAGGATCCTACAAAGTTACATGACCAAGGGTGTTGGTATCAAGAAGTGTGGCTAATTGTAATTGATTAATGCATCAATGTACTACAAACGCTATACTGCAGGCATTGGGGCTTGACCATAAAGGTAAATCTGAATAAGAAAGGGCCTTATAGCAATATTGAGAGAAAGATGGAGAGAGAATAGAGAGATTCATGACTTGGGGCAGGCTTAGCCACCCAGCTGCTTTTGGGTTCTATTTTCTCTAGCTAAGAAGAGTGCCTTCACATTGGAAAGGAAAGAGTACTACAGATGTGAATAGGAGATAACTCAGGGCCAAAGGAGGTAGGTGAGGAGACAGATAGTTCCTTATAGAGTCCAAATTTGCAGTCCCATGGGAATTCCATCCTAGGCTATTGAAGGACTGAGAGAACTGCTGACAGTGATTATGGGACATTATGGAAAAATGGTAGAAGCTCCCAAAGAATGTAGGTGGTTATACATGGTTGACCCTCGACATTTGAAAGGAGATGTTTGTCTCCCTAAGACATCTTCAAATTTCCCAATTTACAGGTAGACTGGAGCATACGATACTCCCCTAAATGCAGTTAAAATAATTACAAATTCAGAATATCAATGGTTTTATGCCCACGGCTCTAAATTAATTTCTAAGGTTATTAAAATAAGTTCCCTTCAAATCATGATTCCATCAAGGGTCACATACTTCTTATGTCCTCTCATGATAGTATTTATGTATTCAACATAGTAACAAAGGGAGCTAATATTTATTTATTTGCTTCTTTGTATCAGGCATTGTGCTAAGCCATTTATATGCATAGTCTCATTTTACTCCCACAACAATGACGTGGGTATCATTATTATCATTTTATAGGTGAAAAAACAGAAGCTCAGAGAATCTTATTCGGAGCTTGTACCAGGTCTGCCTGGTTATTGCCCATGCTCTTAATCCCCTCATGTTGACTACCTCTTGAAAATATTAATTGTATTTCTGGCATCCAACTCAAAAAATCAGAGGTGCAAATACAAGATTTGGAAACCCTAGCTTGCCAACAAATGATGTGAAAAAATATCTTAGGGCTTTTGTTGACCATAGGTTCAATAGGAGTCAACAGAGCCAGGGTGCTGACAAGGACACACAAGTAACCCTCAGTTTCTTTGTAAAGAAGTATGTGATTCTGTCCACAGGCAGTGCCATTCGGGACTTCTGATTCATTCAGTAGTATTAGATTGATTGATTAACTGCACCTGGAGCTTTTGTTTTCCAGCGATACATTTTAAGGTCATTGACAGTTTGGAGGGGAATTCCCATTGAACAGGAATTAAGTGGCTTAGAGTTTTGAAAACCATAATATGTGGAAAAGGATTAAAAATGGAGTACATATAACCTATAACCTGCATAACTTTCTTCAGCCATTGGAGGTATTCCACATGGAAGATGACACACTTTTGTTTAGTACTGATCCAGAAGTCATGGAGAACAATTATATGGGATCTGTCGAGCCAGTGGTTGCAATCTGGGTAGCAAATTGATTTGAGATGTGGTAAGTTCTGTGACTCCAGAGGAGATCAGAGAGGGGTGCCTTAGAGAAGGCTCTATGCTGAGGAGGTTCTTCTCTCTGTACTGACTTCTGAAATGTTGATTTCAGTACTATACTCATTTTTTTTCTGTATGCTCAGCCATTATATTTAAGATATAGTTAGAAAAGTGGTACTTCTGCTCAAGAAAATCACAAATGAAAATAGTATTTTAGAGGGGGAATGTTTATTCCCCACTCCTGACATTTCCCTTCATGTGGTGGGAGCTCCATTAGTGTGACACTCTTGGGCTCTCATTGCCCCTCTCTGCTCACTCCACACCATTGAAGGGTGAGAGAGGAGAGACACATGTGCCATGCAAATTTAGGAATCATAAATGTCACATTCTCCATTCAGAAACTTGCTTTTTCCCCCCTCTCTCTCTGGAGTGAGCAGCCCACAAAAGGCATAATTCCTCTATTTTTTTTTAGGCACGAACACTCCGCCCGTGCCCTCATGTTGGGAGGCTGCCCAAGTTCAGTGTTGCCATTAGTGCATGTATAAATCTGTCAAATTTAGAGTGCAGTACTAACAATCAGTTTTGCTTTCACCTTAAGCAACATCCTCCAATATAGGCTTGCTTGGGAATAAAAGTCATATGCTGGTTTCCATCTGCTGCTCTCCTATCTTATGTCTCAATTTGTTCAGAATTTGGGAAAGGAAGAAGGTGTTATTGAGCAGCCTCTGAGTGATCTAATCGAAATGAGATAGAATATAAGATGTTGAGGTACCACGTGTCAAATGTTTATTCTATGAGCCTTGGTGCTTTACCCATACTGCCTGCTCTAAGTGTGCCAACAGTATCACTGTTATACCAACCCCAGTTTACAGACTGGAAAACTGAGACTTGTCTAAGTTAGGAAGTAATGAAGCACATGTCAACCCATGTGTGTCTGTAGCCAAGGTCCAGGTTTTCAATTGGTGTACAGTGCAGAGAAAAGTTTTGAGCTACAGAGGATATTGGGAAATGGTATCAGAAAAGGGAATGATTATGGGGCATTAAGGAGGTGAGAACTGTGCTGGGCCTTAGATGTCAGAGTGATTCATGCAGAAATAGAAAGGAGTGTGGACATTCCAAGGATATAAGCTAGAAGCAATATTACCTCCCAGGAGTGCCAGCAGCAGGAATGTTGTCATTATCATCATCTTCAGCTTCATCATCATTATCTTTATCCTAACAGCCACCATTTACTGACCTTTTGCTATATACCAGAAAATGATCTAAGCACTTTACATCTGTTATTACATATAGTTTTTAACTGCATTATTAAGGGATAATTGACATTTCATAAACTGTACATATATAACGTATATAATTTCATAGTTTTGAGATATAAATATACCCATGAAACTATTACCGCAATCAAGATAATAAACATGTACATCACACCCAAAAATTTCCTTGTGACTCTTTCTAATCCTTCCTTCCTTCCCCTCTCTCCTAACCCCTAGACCTGTCTCCAGGCAACCACCAATCTGCTTTCTGTGTCTATATTTGTATTTTCTAGAATGTTATGAAAATGAAACTATTGAATGTACTTTTTTCTTGTTGTTTGGCTTCTTTCACCCAACATAATTATATTGAAATTCATCATGTTCTGGTGTATATCAACAGCTTATTCCTTTTTGTTGCTGAGTAGTATTCCATTGTACCAATATACCATAATTTGCCTATCCATTCTCATGTTGGTTGATAGTTGAATTGTTTCCAGTATTTGACTATTACATGTAAAGCTGTTATGAATACCCAGAACCCATATTTAATCCTCACAACAAATGAATCGCACAGTGCTATTACAATCTCCATTTTATAGATGAAGAAGCTGAGGTCCACCAAGGTCAACTACTCTGCCCAAGGCTACTAGCCAATTGGCAGCAGAACTAGCATTTGAGGCCAGATCTCTCTGACAACCTCTGCCCAAAGCTCCTGTCCAATAATATACTCCACAGGAAGGGGAATGCCTTCACTTGAAAAAATGAAGATGTTTATTTTTCCACTGTAAGAATGTATTTCTCAGCCTATCTCTACTCCCTGTCATAGTAACCCAGATTGGCCGCTGCACACAGATTCTCAGAGGGCAAGATGAGTATTCCTTCTTAGTTTTTTTAGTCTACCCATCAACAAGAGATAAGAAAATTCTACCAGGGGCCAGGGCCTTTTCCTGTCAAGAATATGAGATTATATCTTCATTTACGGAGTAAGTTTTATACCATTAAAATGAGAGTTAAAAAAGAAAGCAGATAGAAGAAACAAAGAGAGTACAAACATTCTTGTTCATATTCACAACCCAAGAGCTGAAAATTTGGTTGATGAAATTAATTCATAAAGAATGCGAGCTCAGCTGCAGAATTCTAGTTAAAAGTTCAGTTGCTGCTGATCCCCTGGGGGCTAGGCAAGCATTTTAAGAAATCCCAGCCCACATTTCTTTATACAGTCTGCTTTCTGGTCCTCTGTCCCATGCTTCTTCCTTATTCCGATTCCCCAATCGATTGATTAATTCACGTGCTGAGAAGCTACTCTGTGGGATGTGGCAGCGTCGAAGAAAAGACTGTACACAGGCCTTGCACCGAGGACAAATACTGCTGACAAAGGGTGACCTCAAGGACATTCTGGGAGTTCTGAGAAGGGAGAGCCAGGGAAAACTTCCAAGAGGAGGTACCCTTTAATTATTTTAGCTTTTACTTTTGTTTATGTTTTTCAAAATGCACATACTTATAATGATAAATGATACAACCAGCAGTGAGCTGGTAAATCCTTGACAACAAGTTATCTGCAAAAAATATGTATATAAACACATAAGCTACTATAAATGTTACTGATATAAAAAACATATAGCATACAATTTATAAATAATAATGAAATATGATTATTCTTTACTGTTAACTCCATTTATGTGACCAGATGCTTTTTCACAGAATGTTTTCACTGATTTTGGCCAAACTGTTATGTAGTGTTTGCCAATTTCTGTGGTGTAAATACTCCCTCCATGGCTGATTTCAAACTGCCAGTGGGACATTACCGAACATAGAGTAGGGAAGAGATGTGCAGTTCCACCCCATCATTAGTACTTCTGTTATATAGATACTACTGGTGTAAAAATTCTGAAGCGCATAGGTAATAGTAAAATTAATAAAATAATTAAGAAGTGATGAGTATTATCTATTCATTACCTTTGTTTTTAATATAATTTATTTAGTTATAAGTTTATATAATTAAATTTTAATAATGACTAGGTTTAACAACCATCTCCCATAATTTCTGAATATATAACAATGGACTTGTGAGTCAGTTGGGATATAGCACTAGATTATATCA